GAATCCTGCAAATGTATAAAGGAATTTGAATCAGTGCATGGGGCCATTTCACTATCTATATCTTTCCTCTTTTTCTCTCGTTCTCTTTTTTTAACACACCTTTGCGTTACGATGCATTCACTTCTGAAAGATTTCCAATTGATCATTTAACTGGGCAGTATTAACGTATATGTGACCCTCCACGGGAAACATACATTAACGCTTTTCCGTTAAATGGGCAAAAAAATGGATTAGATTAAAAAATGGATTACCAAACGAATGCCGTAAAACGTTTTCACGCTTCGTTAAGGCGTTTAAACGGTTCGATAAAATTGTTTAATGCTTTGAAGAAAGCGTTTTACGCTTTAGAGAAACCGTTTGCACGGATACGAATAACCGTTTTTATGGGCCATTATCTGTGTAAATGGATAGAGGAATTTACCCGTTTTCACGGATGAAGCCGCACTATTCTCGGGAACCGCTTGCTAGACATACACTGGGTTTTGAATCATGCGTCGGTAAAATGTCAACTCTCTATAATAATAATAATAATAATAAATGTCATTTTATATAGGGCCATTAGAGTTCAATAGCGCTTTACAGAGGTAAAAGCGATAAAACACCAATTAACAATATATACAAATAAAACCAGACAAATCAAACCTAATTACTAAAACTAAGATTAAAAAGCCATGTCTTAAGGTGTTTCTTAAAAGCACTATATGAGTCTATCTTCCTCGAATCAGAAGGCATTGAGTTCCATAAGGTAGGTGCAGAGATGGAAAAAGAACGTGCTCCAAACGTCTTGAGATTAAACTTCGTTTGACAAAGAAAACCTTGGTCCGCTGAGCGAAGGGTCCTGGTGGGAGCATAGGGTGTAACTAGCTCACAAATATAAGGTGGCATCAGTCCCTTAAGAGCTTTAAATGTTATAATCAAAAGTTTAAATTTGATTCTTTGTTCAACTGGGAGCCAATGTAAACCCTTGAGTAGAGGGGTCACATGCTCAAAATTTCTACATTGAAAAACTCTGTTGTTTTGTTTACTGCACGGGGAACACGATTTTACAGTAACGAGTGGATGTAAACATACGAGGTTTATGTTTAATATATAGTAAGCTATGAGAGAGAGAGCTTCGCTATGCACACCCCGTTTTGATGTTGAGGTACATCGCATATTTGGAACTAGCTAGCTATAGCAACAATAAAGAACAATTGTGTGAATAGCAAAACACCTACACATGCCACTACATAGATATGATACGTGCGATCCAACAGCTTTAGGGCTAATTACACGTCCTTAGTATATGTCATAAATATACTTATGCATGATCGATCAATGTCATACCTTGTTGTGGCAAGCCAAACTGGACAAAAGTTTGTCGAGATCGACGAGATGTGTACGCGATAAACCTGGTCAATGCATGACTCGCAAGGAGGGAAAACAAAAAGTTGTCTTACTGAGTAAAGTCTATATCTATTAGCTGTTGGTTCATTTGACGATCTTGAAGTTGAAGGTCTTGAAGTAGATGGCCGACGGGATTTGTGCGTCTTTCTCTGCTCGCATTACTGCTCGTAAAAGTACGTCTCACCTTCGATTCGTTGTCGACTTGATTCGGTCGTCCTGATATCGCATCAGACAGTTCCCCGATTCTTGAAATCGATTGATATCGTTTGATAACGTTTGATTCGAGATTTTGCCGTTCACGATTACCGTCCAGATTCCCGTCTGCCATATTTGAATGGAGATCGCTAGATAGTATACTCCAAAATAAGGTTTCCGCGCGGAGGTCTGGAAATGAGTTTGTCAAAATTGTCAATATCTTCGGAAATTAACGAAAGCAGCAGCAAAAAGGGCGATCGTGATATATATGTGTGATTTTTATATACGAGCGAAGACTACGTGGTTCAAGTTCCCTTTAAACTGGAACTGGATTTTTTATACGTCTCCCGCTTAGTATTTCAGGCAAGAAAGTGTTTAGTTGTTAGTATATGTTACAACTACAGTCTACTGTGATTGTTTTGTTTAAACGAAATTTTTACAACAATGACAATGTGCATAATACAGTCTATATAAATGTAGATATGTATAAACAGCTATTGAAATAGGGTGTAGAAATTGGTGTAGAAAGAAAAACTCAACACTAAATATTCATGATATTCGCTTTTATTCAATATGAAAAGATCGTAAATATCAAAAGATATATTTATATATATATATTATATATATATATATATATATTATATAATATATATATATATATATATAGTTTTAAAATATATTACATTTATAAGTTATACCATTATATAAAATTAAGTTAAACATTACATAACTTATGGGTCCACCCTCTGGTATGAAATATGAACAATATCATGATTAAAAAATACAGCCCCTAGCAGATTGTCAATAGCTTAACAAGTTAGCCTTAGGTTAACAGGTTCACCCTAAAATATACCTCTAATATATGGAAAGCAAACACTGCCATTTATATTTGTGAAGATGTTCTATCAACATTTCATCAGGATTGATCTTTCTCGAATATGACATGGCTGATTCTTTATATCATGTGGAAACATGGTTAGTTCTTGTTGCTCCAAACATTGTTGTAGGTGTTGACGCATCTCACTTTGTTTAAAGGTGATTGCTCCAGGATATATCCTTTAGCAAGAGCTAGTGCATTTGCTATTGCAAACAAACCACAGTCAACAAAACCTGCTTGCTTTTGACAGCACCTTAGTTCACTTGCAGAAGACCACCTTTTGCCAGACTCTTGTACATATATACCAACTGCTGACTTAAAGGGCGTGTCATTCCAGGATAAAGGGAATCGTAGACAATTCACTGACTGGCCCGATTGTGATACAAGCCAATGTCCAGGAAGGTTTGGATCTGAATTGCATTCAACATTGATGTTATTGATCCTCCCTGGTGAGTTTGCTTGATACTATCAAGGTATCTATTAAGCCATCTACTTTGGTGAATTGGTTTTCAATAGAATCTGGACTGCATTGATGTGATTATCATTTAGAAGGTTGCCTGAAGTCAGTTCATGTTTATCAGCCTGATACAAATTCAAACTAGGCAAACATACCCAGAGCTTTCTTTCTAGATGAAAACAGGACTTCTTACTGGTGAGCTGAGATCAACTACATCTGGCTTTGTAGAGCATCTCTTCTTTGGTCTATCTGAGGCAAGTGGCACATGCACTTTGAAATTTTCTTCATTACTTCAGCATGCCCCAACTCGGCCTGTGTAGGGGTGTTTTTGGGCGACCATATTTTCTGGTTGTAATGTTTTTATCTTTCCCTTTTTCTTTTGACCATTTTTTGTGATGTGTTTTCTCCCTCTTGTGGTTACTGGATTTCTTAACTTGGGTTTTTATGAAATTCCTGCTTCCTGGGGTGCTGTACTTCGTGCCTTCTCTAAAATCCCCTCCAACTCACTGGCAAGACTGGAAAGTTGTTGTTTGTCATCCATTAGAAATGTAAGGTTTGAAAGTTCCTTCATCAAATTGCGGCACTTGAGACGAAGAGCATTTTTGCCACTTGTTCTTTTAGGTGGAAGTGATTTATAATCTTTATTGACCAGTTCAGGGGGTGAAGGTGGTATGAAATCATCATTGTCTCTTTTTTCTGTTGGAGGTTGATCATTGGTTACATTTCCTTGCTGTTTAACAATGTGTTTATTTTCAGGATAACTGTTATCTGGTGGAACAATTTTCTGATCTAATGAAAACAGTGGATTTCCTATGTATTTGGCACTCAGGTTTTCCCATCTCCATTCTGGAAAAGCTTTCATGCAAGCACAAAAGTGTTTGCAAAGAAGCTTGTTGTGTCTCCAGTCCAAGCATGTGCAGTTTGGGAGAGTTTCTTCATCACCAAAGAATAATCTGTATATGTTCCCTCCTGTTGAACTCTTTACATCAAAGACCCCAGGAGACACCATTTGGACCATGTCATTTGTGATGTCACTTTCCCAGCGCTTTATTATATGAGATACCATTTTTGCTGGTCTATTGTGCAAAAATTTGGGAAGATCCTTATGGTATGCACGATAACCATCATGGCATTTCACATTTAACTCAACATACCTATATGGTAAAAAATACAACAATTCTTTACATACTTCACATTTGTGAAATTTAAACAATATTCCTGAGAAATTCCATTAGTGCTGCAATTTTACAAGTAGGCAACTCTTACTTTCTGAACGTTTTTGGAAGAAACTGATCCACAAGGACTTTTAGCATGTCTGTTAAAGAGCATCCTTTGTTCCCAAGCAGATATTCATATTTAAATGCCTTATTTTGTCTCTCAATCCCATTGTTTGTGTTGACTGCACAAATAAAATCTTCAGCCCGGTATGCTTGGCACCATCTCTGAAAATCAAAATTTATGGTTTTTAGTATTTCTCATGTTTGCTGGTTTGACAAGCACTATTAAATAGTTCAGTCATTAGTCATTGATTGACTGGACTTTCTAAGCTTTCCTATAATATGTTGGCTTTGTACCTTTATGTTTGGCAGCCACTTGTTACCAAACCAATTCCTTAGTTTCGGATTACTTTTCCAAAGTCTGCTCTCAGTAAGGCATGTGGTTGATTTTCGACACTCTTCAGATGTGGCTGCATGTGCGATGCTCCGTAATAGATTTAGCAGATGTTGTTTGTCATGAGCAACACCATTGTCTAATTTAGATGTCCATTCTTGCCATGACTTCTCCCGATGAAAATCACAAAGAAGTACTTCTGCATCTGAATAATAAAATGACATTGAGGTGCATCAGGTATATCTACAAGCAGATGTAAGGTATCTGTTCAATTCCGAAATTGGTTTTGAACAGCTGTTTATCTGTTTTTCCTTACCTTCAAAGACTGTTTCGAGAGCTTGAATTTCTTCCTCAGCAAAATCTACCATAAAACGCGAAGGGGTCCATGTGTTAATATTCCACTCCTTGAAAACCATTAATGCTTCCTTTATACATTGTGTGTTCTCGTACTGTATGACAAATGAGCCGACAACTTCATAACAAACATTCGTTCTTACACACAGGAAGTACAATGGAAGGTCATATTTTGTTGTTCTGTAGGTTGCATCCAGCAGACACATTTGGTTACCATACTTTGCGAGGAGATGTCGTTGATCACTGGTCTGATGACAGAACAGTAATGTTTGGGTGGAGTATTCGTCGGAGGTGACGCAGTCATCTTCATCCTGAACACAATCATCTGGTACTGGCTTAGCACAATGGGGACGATAGAGAAATGAGTCTTCTGGATGCTCATTCTTCCATTTTTCGACCAGTCTCTTCAAATTTTCTTGGTCAATTGTGGAGAAATTGTCTGGTTTTCCTTTGTACAAATGATTATAAATGTCCTTGTTAGTAGGATAATATCGCCTACTAGTTTTGTCTGGCGGTTTACATCCCTTGAAGAGGTCACATTGCACGAAAAGCTCGAGGTACCTGCGTGCCTCACTTACTGAGTGGACACCTTCTTGGGCTAGCTCTGAAAGTTTTTCCACTATAACCGGGTCCAGTGGCTCTCTTATTCCAGCAGCCTGTAATATAAAAAATAACCATTACATTAATAATTTTAACAATCGCGCGTGTTTTATAAGTAAATTACAGTACTTTTAAATTCTAATATGTGCCAATCCTGTCGCAATGTTATGTAGGTTTATATATTTTCGGTTTTTGTGGCAATAAAATTTTACCTTTCCCATTATGTGATATTTATGTTCAGATACAGGTGGTAACTTCACGATATAATTCATTTGAACGTCGGCAGCTGCGATTGTGCTTGCCGTCAACCCTTCGTGCAATATCTTTGCTGCTCTTCGTCTGAAGAATAAGCTGTCTTTTTCAATCTAAAGCGTACATTTAAAGAGTGCATTATGGCATCCCAGTGGTTATAAGTGATTATAATTATTTTATCTTTTACGGCCTAAGTAATAGTATAAATTCGGACCTTCATATTTGGAAATTTTGCAATTTGAGTGATGAATATTGCAGCTGGGCATTGCTTCTTTTTTGACGTTTGAGCAAAGGTTCTTTTTTTAGAACTATAACAGTGGTCAGCATTCTGTAAGTGTGTAAAAATAAATTTTCTCAAAGGTGGTAACACAGTTTACCTACACAACGTTAATTATAAATTAGCTTATATATCCATTCAGTTTTGAAATGTTACCTGGCACTCCTGAGCTTTCTCCTTATTTTTTTGTTTAGCCTTTTCATTCTTATCTTTTCCTTGATGGCACCACATCACTTTCTCCCCAACGTGTACAAACGGTATTCCGTCGTATAAAATGCTTGGTCCTTGCTGATTCCCATCCTTTCTCTCCCAGTAGACCTTACGTTTATCTTTTCTTAGTTCTAAACATATCAACTACACGTTCCTGCCCGGGAAATATATTTTTACCACACCTTTACTTCATTTTCATACGTATGTTTACCCCCTCGTAATAACGTTTTGGCTACAAGTTTACCCCCAGGGTCACACAGAGAATTTTAGGGGTCCCAATTCCATAGCAAAAACGCCAAAAAAATAGCAGTTAAAAAAATACCAAAAAAGCTTTTATTTGTGGGTATTTCGTACCAAACGCTTAAATGGTGCTCTCGGCGTTTTATTTTTGGTGTATATTTTCACTCTGAAGGGGCATCACCCCTTGTATTTTTACCTGACCTGCCAAAAACACCAAACTTATCATGATAACTTTTGGAAAGGGACTTTAAGAGAGCTATATACTCCTGTGGTATTCTGCCCCCCCTTAAGCAGCCTTTGTATACACCTCCACCTCCTTCCTTTATCCGGCCTGTTTCACGATAGAACAGCTTTTAAAATGCGTATAATCTACGTACTTTTAAAGCTTAGCTTACCGTTTGATCCAAAGCTTTTGTCGCTGTAATAGACGATGCTGCTGCTCGTCTCCACCTCGTATTTTTAATGAGCGCCTTTACATCGGACTCGCTATGTACAACAGCCGTGTTTTGAACGCTAGTGTCCTCCGAATATTCAAAGGACGACATGCTTTTCGCGCAAATATATTTACATATCAAGGAACGATATTTGCTATGAATATTTATACTCGTGGTAAGTTCCCGCAAAATTTAAAAATCGCGCGACAAAAAAAAGGATCATCCAGAAGTATATTGTCCTTCGTAAGTTGTTCGCCGTCATTTCACGAAGATTTTGACAAACTCATTTCCAGACCTCCGCGCGGAAACCTTATTTTAAAGTATACTATCTAGCGATCTCCATATTTGAATATGTAAATACTTAATCAGCTTTTTTTAATATTTTTGTGCTATATATAGCTATAGAGTCTATAAAGAGTACTGCGGTCAAAATGGCGAACGTAAAGCCAAATCAAGCCATAGGTAAAACGTATGCACGAGTTGTAATATATATAAACTTGCAAACTGGCACCTAGCTTGACATTCGATGTTCAGGACTTTTCCGCTCCTCGATTATCTAAAGAATGCATTATTACATAAATATTATGCAAAATGACATAACACAACATTAAATATTGTCTTGGGGATTCAGTATATAAAACAGGGATGGATAAAAGAACGTTTTCCCCATATTTTTTTTTCTTTTATTCATTAAAAGAAAAAAAACCCTAATCCTGAAGAACGAGTAATTTTGAATGAAGTAGGGCGTCTCAGAGTAGCTGTAGCTCAGGCTTTGAAGGCTCCTCGTACTCGACAAAAAATAGTATACTATTCACACCGGTCCCTCCACGCTCGTCCAAATTAGAATGGGAATAATAACGATCGCGTTTGGTGACAGGAAAGGAAAAGAAACAGGGAGGGTGAGATAAAAATGGGGAGGGTAAACAAACGCGACCGCCGGTAGACGACCGCGGGAGGATAAAACCAGGAAAATCTTCGTGACACCTCTCGGCCCTGAGATGCCTTCTGACGCGAAGAGTTTGAGAAACCGGCGAGAGCACTCTCATTTATACTCGCTTAGAAGGGACTGGTGCGAATAGTATACTATTCACACCGGTCCCTCCACGCTCGTCTAAATTAGAATGGGAATAATAACGATCGCCGAAATACCCTGCCAGGTGGAACAATGCGACCCCACAGTAGGTTTCCCAACCCCGGACCCCCAAACTGCCCATTCTAAAACAAAACTCAACCTGAAACAATACCAAATAACGACAGATTACAAACACACTTGTTGAATACTATTCATAAAAGTAAAATAACTAAAGTTTCTTTACTGAAGGAAACGCAAGAACAAAATCATGTAGGACATTAAGGTCGCTATATTCAGAAGTAGATAGTCGAACAGACGTTTCCTCGGACGACAAGGTCAGATGGACCACCGGGGCGCAAAACATTAGCTAATTTAAGATAATATGATGCAGTTGAAGAGGTCTTCCAGCCCACGTGAGACATGATATCCCCCAATTGAGCTCCTGAAAGAGCTAGCGTGATAGCGGCCCCAGCTCTAAAACTATGAAGGGTTTCGCCTGCGTAGATGGACGCCTCTTTAAGATACAGTTGAAGACGGGATTGCATGGTGGAAGAGGACAGCTGTTTGTTCTGGATGCCACCGCGAGGAGAAGTAGGACGAAAGAGGAAACCGTTCGAGAGATCCAACCCAAGCTCTGAGCAAGACGCCATGTAGGTTCGATAGCCTTTACTGGACAGAGAGACGGATTCTGATGACGACGAACACCAAATAGGTTCGAGGATCCATCCCTGAGAGTTTTCCCCCAAACGTGGTTAAACAAGAGACCATCATCTTGCGGAAACCTCAAAATCTCTTGCGTCTTGACTGTGTTGAGATCATTTGCCCTGTCGCCACTAAAGAAGAGCGTTTTGAAAAAGGCGGAATCCCGAGCAAAGGTGAAAAGTGAGATCGGGGAAACGTTCATAGCGCTCATTTTCCGTTCGAGGTGACGGGATAGGAGCAGGAGCTTGTTCACAAATAACGGAGTAGCTTGCTGCTGAGTGACAGCTGCCTGAAGTTGTTCCGATGTGAAGGCCTTGAGATAACGCTTGACTTCTATAGAGGCGGCGGGATTTCCCAAGTCTAAAGCTATATCCCAGTCCCCTTCGCGGCCAACGGATTTAAAAATAGCACGTAACTTCCCGATAAAAGAATCACAGTTTTGTACGATAGCCGAACTGGACAACCGCAAGGTTTTATCCCATGAAGGCCAAGGTGTGGACAGTTGGATTGGTGCACTTGTGTTTTACCACCGTTATCCTTCCAGACTAAAAACCGCCGAGTAACGTCTAGGGGAACAGCTGTAAACAACGTCTTCCTCGATGGGAGAGCGGACAGGAAACTTTTGAACTCGCTTTCGAGTGACATCTTTTGTTTCTCGTACGCGGTTGAGGTGGAAATATTGTGTAGAACTCCTAGGCGCGCGTCGATTGCCGAAAGGTCGACTTCGGTCAAGACAGGATGCGATACAGGGGCAAGAGATTTTCGACGATAACCACACAATTGACAGAACATAAAATTGTAATCATTAGAATGATGGCACGTTGGACAAGATACTGCTGGTAGAAAGAGGCGTGCGACAGGAGGTAAACCCTAGAGCAAAAACATAAAAATAGGAAACAAACATGACAATCTTTATTGAAGTTATAATGGAAAAAAAAAATTGATCAGTACAAAAAATGAAATCATTTTCAGACCAAGACAAAGTTTGTTCAGGTAGATTTAATGTCAAAACGAAAAGCCCATAGATCCCAAGGCAGAGGCCAATTCGAAGTGAAACCTGTCTTTGAAGGGACAAGGAGAGGACCGGACTGGCCCCTGTAACCAAGAAGGATGCTGGATTGAGAGGCAAAACAGATAACAGACCACCAAGAGCGTCGGGGTAAAATATCGGGAACGACGATGGTGAAAGATACCCCAATGGAACGAAGATACCGTAGGACTCTGGGTATCAAGACTATAGGTGGAAAAACATAGGGGTTGGAAAAAACATCTTCGGGATATTGCGAAGCACATTGGGCAAAAATATTCACCCCGAGACAAGCTGGCGTTGGAAAAGGCGAAAAAAATGGCAGCGGCAACTGATGGCTGTCAACCATAACATTTGAAGGTAGCGCCATAAGGTCAATTGAATGGCCTCGAGCTCCACCGAATTTTTTCCCACGTCTCTGCTGCTAACATGGCATCCTGAAGAGACAAAACACGAGAAGGAGGATCCGCAACGTTTTGGTGGGATGGGATGTGAATGAGGTTGAGGTGAAAATTCGCAGATGAGGCGACCATAAAAAAGTGTCTCTTTGGTAACGATATCTTTCGCTAAATCGTTGTCCCGCCAGTAGTCAGAAATAGCAACGGAAATTTCACCAGGGTTGAGCACACCTCCCCAAGCGTAGGGAGATGCATCCGAGGGAAGTTTGATCTGATAATGTGTCTCTGTTCGCCATGGGAGAGAACCTGTCCACGTTTCGAGAAATAACCAATGCTCAATCTCCCGACGAAGATCTTGCGATATCCGAAGTGCGGATAAGCCTTGGAAATTGCCATGTTAATCTCGTTAGTAAAAAGCCGAGCAGCTGGAACAGCTGCGGAGAGCGATACACATTTTCCAGACAGCTTCTGAAGGAGATGCAAAGAAACGTGCTTACGAGAAAGAATGTCATGTACAAGTAACAAAAACTTTTCTTCTTTGGCAACAAGGCGAAATGTTTGATGTAGAGAATCGCTATCAAAACCAAGGTACGGCACGGACTGCGAGGGAACAAGGATAGATTTATCTAAACCGATAGTATATCCCAAAGTGATGAGAATATAACACACCACGAAAATGGCTACATTTGCCAAAGTGAAATTGCACTGGTCAATCGATGTAGCGGCACGGACGATAGGCGGCGGTGAAGACGCTGAAAAGCGAATGTGGGAGGAATGTCGATCGTCAATATACAGTGAACACGGAATGCCGACGGTGCGAAAATACTGTGAAGCTAGGGAACCGGTGGTATGGTAGACATACGCAGATAACTTCCATCCAAAAGGAATGGTACTAGATGTAAAGTACCAGCCAGCCCACTCGAAGCCAAAATACGGTTTACTGGATTCTGTAATCAGAATATGGTCATAACCAGATTTATCATCACAAACGGTTTGGTATGAACCAGGAGAAACATATAACGTGAGATCGTGGAGATGATCTAAGCGAAAAGGACGGTCCACCATCCAGAGGTTGAGGAAGCGATTATCATTACATAAACGCGGCTTTGATGGCTCAACATGCAGTTAAAGGCATGACAAGGTGCGGCGGCTGTAGTTCGCCCACTTTCCCCCAAAGAGAGATGGCGCCAGAGGCAAGTCGCTGCAGGATAGTATCGGATATAAATTGAGCAAAAGGAATACAAGAGGGATTATTCGGAAAAATTCTTGCAGGCGGCGTGTCCGTATCAAACCATTCACCCTTAAAACCACCTTTGAAGTGGGCAAAATAACGGTTCACATCTACTTTATTGTAAACCCAATCTAAAATTTCAACAGATTGATCTGGTGGGAGGAAGGAGGCCAATTTAGACCATGCGTGCGGATGATCATGTAAACCACCAGCAACAAAAAGGGAAGGGTCGCGGAATGCAAGCAAACCCACGTCAGCGGAACGTTCACCAGCCAGGACGGAATTAAAGAATGCTTCACTCAAGTGAGAGTTATTCGCTGCCATGCCCCGGGGCGGAAGTGCAGTTCCATCAGATCGTACCCAGCTCTCCTGAACACGTGTGACTGATTTCGGAAAAAATAACGGTGTGATC